AAAACAGCTGTGGCCGCAACGATTACCACAGGCGATTCAGACCATTTTAGCTCCAATCAACCATTCCCTCTTATCTGAACTAGCTGAAGCAGCCGATAGAGTAGTAGAGACTACTACATCCAACACGAACATTTCGGCTGCCGTTACCACTAGTCCCACGCAGACTAAGAACTCCTCTGCCGAGGGGTCATCAAACGTTGATGTGGTGGCCCACATAACTAAGCTATATGAGGAGATATGTAAGTTAAGACTCGATATGAGACCTAGAGGTCGTTCAAATAGCCGCACCAACTCGACTCGTGGTAGATCTTCTTCACGAGCTGGCAGCAGACGTCGTAGGTCTCACAATTCCCAACCTGGAGTGTGCTGGTATCACCGGGGTTATGGTGACAAGGCCCAAAAGTGCACTCGCTCGTGCACCTTTGATGTCCAGCAATCGGGAAACCAGTAAGCCACCAAGTATTGGCGACTAACGTCGCTGGCGAACCACTCCCATGTCACCTCTTCTATGTTACTGACCGTAACACTGGGACACGCTTCCTGCTTGACACTGGGGCTGAAGTTAGCGTGATTCCACCAACATCTGAAGATCGCCAGAAGCCATTTTCCTTACAGCTTCATACCGCAAACGGTTCGCCAATCACAACGTACGGCAAAAGGTTCCTGGATCTTAACATAGGCCTACGTAGGTCATTTCGCTGGGTTTTCCTTGTGGCAGATGTAACTACCGGTATTACTGGCATGGATCTCTTGCAACACTATCAGCTACTGGTTGATACTGGCAAGCACAAATTGATCGATTCAGCTACAAACCTCTCCATCTCCGGTGTTGTGACACACACCTTCATTAAGTCCAGTATATTCAACCCCTGCCTCTAACGGCCCTTACGCTGAAGTTCTCCAGTCCTTTGCCAACCTGTTCAAACCGGTTTCTAAACTTCCTTGTGTGACTTCTACTGTCACTCATTATATCGTGACCACTGGTCCACCGGTCTTCGCTAAGCCACGGCGATTGTCCCCAGGAAAACTACAAGCCGTAAAGGCCGAGTTCGAACGTATGTTAGACATGCAGATAATCCGTCCATCCAGCAGCCCGTGGTCTTCCCCTTTACATGTGGTGCTTAAAAATAACGGGATAGACTGGAGGCCTTGTGGGGACTACCGCAGACTTAATGCGCAGACCGTGCCAGATCGCTACCCTGTGCCACATATACATGACCTTACATCTTCCCTCAAAGGTGCAGCGGTATTCAGTAAACTGGACTTAACCAGAGCCTACCATCAGATCCCAGTTCATCCCGACGATATTCCTAAAACGGCAGTGATCACCCCTTTTGGTCTTTTCGAATTCCTTCGAATGCCGTTCGGTCTCCGCAACGCCGCACAAACATCCCAGCGTTTCATTCACGATGTTTCGCGCGGATTGGATTGCGCATATGCTTATCTCGACGATATTCTCGTGGCTAGCCCAGATGAAGCTACTCACCGTACGCATTTACAGATAGTTTTTGAACGGTTAACAACCCATAGTTTGACACTTAACATGTCGAAACGCCAGATTGGCGTCCATTCATTGACCTTCCTGGGACATGTCATTATTGAACATGGAATTCGCCCGCTACCTGAGAAAGTGCAGGCAATACGCGACTTCCCGGAACCTACGTCAATAAAATCTTTGCGCACATTTCTCGGCATGGTGAGTTATTACCGACGGTTTGTTCCTCAATGTGCACATATTTTACTGGCACTCACAGACCTATTAAAGAGCAAGAGCAAAACGTTCAGCATGACACCAGAGGCTCGAGAAGCCTTCCAGAATATTAAGTCGGCAATTGCAGACGCCACCATGCTAGTCCACCTAGACGTCCATCTTCCGCTTAGCATCTCAGTTGATGCATCCAACAGAGCCATTGGAGCTGTTCTACAGCAACTGGTACATACCTCATGGATACCAGTCGCCTTTTTCTCTCGGAAGTTGTCCACCGCTGAAGCGAGGTATAGCACCTTTGGCAGAGAACTCCTCGCCATATACGCGGCTATCAAACATTTTCGCCACTTTGTCGGAGGTCGGAAATTCACAGTATTTACTGATCACAAGCCCCTGACGTACGCCCTCCACACCACTACCGACAGGTACTCGCCACGTGAACTACGCCACTTGGACTAAATTTCACAGTTCACTTCCGACATCCAGCACGTTTCTGGAGCTGATAATCCCGTAGCAGACGCGTTGTCTCGCGTATGCGTTATGCCAGCGCCATCAACCATAGATCTTAAGAAAATGGCAGAACTTCAAATGAAAGACTTGAACTTAGAATACCTGTCAAACAAAACCTCGCTGAGAATAGAACGTGTTCCCCTACCGAACAGCGAAGCATCCATACTGTGTGACATGTCAACAGGCACTCCTCAACCAATTGTCCCTAGGCCTTTACGTCGCACCGTGTTTGAGTGCTTACACAACCTCTCCCATCCGGGGATTCGAGCAGCGGACAAGTTGATATCGGCCAGATTCGTGTGGCCTGGTATCAGCCGTGATCTGCGTCAGTGGACGCGTGCATGTGTTAAATGCCAACGTGCCAAAGTAATCAAGCATAACGTCACACTGTTGGGGACTTTCGCAACCCCAGATGCTCGTTTCCATCATATTCACTTGGATATCGTGGGGCCTTTACCCCCTTCCAATGGTTGCTCGTATTTACTTACATGTGTGGATCGCTTCACGCGTTGGCCAGAAGCCATTCCGATCCCAGATGTAACGGCCCAAACCATCTGCCGTGCGTTCATGGAAGGCTGGGTTGCCCGTTTCGGATGTCCCGCCACTGTCACCACCGACCGAGGACAACAATTCGAATCCATAAGTTTCAAGAAACTCTTGGAGATGCTGGGATGCAAGCGTATTCGGACAACCGCCTATCATCCCGCTGCAAATGGGCTGGTAGGGCGTTTTTACCGCCAATTAAAAGCCGCATTGATAGCAGTAGACAACAGTAGGTGGACGGATTCTCTGCCCTTGGTCCTACTTAGCATCCGTGCCACACTCAAAGTGGATTTACAATGTTCCTCAGCTGAATTCGTGTATGGCACTACACTGCGTTTACCAGGTGAGCTTGTCGCTCCTGACACTGTCGAGCAAATTTTCCCTGATATCACCTGTTACGCACAGAGGCTTAAAGGTTATATGCAGCAAATCCGACCTGTTCCCACACGCACTCAAAACCGGAAAGTACATGTCGGTAATCGACTGGATGATTGTACTCATGTTTTCGTGCATCATGACGCCGTGCGTAAGCCATTGCAAACCCCATATGATGAACCTTTCAAGGTCCTTAGTCGGAAAGAAAAATTCTTCGTTATCGATCGATCTGGCCATCAAGACACCGTCAGTGTCGACAGACTTAAAGCGGCCTACATCGGAGACTCTTTACCTCTCATGCCTACACAACCAGCAACTACGCCTGCACCCACACCCCAGCCAAGTTCTGTTGTTGAAAATCCTACTAAATTTAGCAGTTCGCCAGATACAACATGTAAGGCAACAGTTACACGCGCGGGTCGGCGTGTGCACTGGCCTAAGCGATACTGTGAATTCCTTAACTAAACACTTTTACGTACAAGAGTAGTTCATACTCTTATTTTTTTTCTTTCTTTGTCGCAGTTTACATTCATTTTTCCTGGTATTTACCATTTTGATTTGGTTTGTGGGCAGTAGCCACTTTTACAGTTACTAACCTTGTTAGATTGCTTTCTCTCTACAGAGTGTTCTAACATTTTATTTTCGGCCTTGCACTCGAACAGCTGGTATATTGATTGCCTTTGGTATTACTACTAGTTTTGGTTGATGAGGAAGGATGGAGCATTAGTCTAAGATGAAACTTAGACATAATGAGTCACCTTCCCGCTATAACAACCTGGGGTAACGGAATAAAACTGTCAGACCTCCATATAATTCAGCCCGTAATAGTATGTCATTAAAAAAAATAAATTTACATATGTATACATAAAAGATAAATAAACATAAACGAGTTAAAAATAAACCAGACAACTCAGAAGCTTGAAGTCGCACGAAGGCACCAGAGTTATTTCTTCTTATATTCCGTCTTACGCCATTAATCATGTACATAGTGCCCATAAATTGTCTATATATTTTTCCTTCATTCTTTCCTTTCACAATATATTTTTTTTAAAAAACAACTATTTTATTACTATCTTCACCCTTTCTTGTTCATTCACTGTTATTGTACACAACCTTGCTACTTTTATATATCGAAGCTTGCCGTTTTCCCACCAACCTTCTAAAGGGGGCATAACCTGTAGTGTACATTGAACCTTCGAACTTTTGTTTGAACGGACTCACCTGACATTTTGGACCACTTCATCCAAATCACCTGTCACATTTTCTCTTCTGTAAAAAGCAAATATTATACAAGTGACTCTTATCTATCCGTTACAACCAACTGAAAGAGATAAAATCTTCAAACTTTATACTTCTTTGATTAAGTTAGCCAGGAATATTCTCCTCGTGAGTGGATCAAATGCTTATTACATCTGTGAAATTTATACACATGTTAACTTGTTCCCTTCGGCTAAAAAATATAATGTCTATTCGCTTTTATTATTGTTATTTCAAAGCCCGCCTCAGTAACGTACGACACGTATTAGCCGCAACGTTTACGCAAAGGAAAGTCTACCAATCACAGTGTGCGTAAGTGACCTTCAAGTGCTCAGCCTCTCCATAAGCCATTTGTGCCGCTATCCTCTGTCCTTCTTTGGATTCGTGAATCTCCTGGATCAGGGTGAGTCAATGAGTGATCCCTTTGACCCCTTAGCTGAGTCTACCGCGATGGACGACGACCTATTCTTGAGGGAAGAGTTCGACTTCTTAGATGAAGTTCTGGAAACTGATCGTACTGAAAGGTCTAGTTCTCAATCAGATTCAGATTCAGAATCTGAGAACTAGACCTTTCAGTACGATCAGTTTCCAGAACTTCATCTAAGAAGTCGAACTCTTCCCTCAAGAATAGGTCGTCGTCCATCGCGGTAGACTCAGCTAAGGGGTCAAAGGGATCACTCATTGACTCACCCTGATCCAGGAGATTCACGAATCCAAAGATGAGAACCAGATAGCATTACCAAAGTAAGTCTGTCAGTAACTGCTACCTGGAGTGGTAGAAATGTACATTTGCATTACGCATAAAGTGTAGTTGTGTATATAACTAACTCACTCTTCGTTTCACTTACTTCAAAGCGAATTTGTTACTGATGATTTTAGAAGTCTGAACATCAAGCCAGTTAGCTTATGCCACCTGACTGATCAGTTAGCTGTATACAGCTGTTTCTATAGAAACATTGTTATACCTTTACGTAAGGTGAAACCAAACGTTAGTAAATGCCAGGGGATTTCTGTTACTTCATCTAGACCAATAGATTCAAAAAAAAACTGATTACTGCTCCAGACATAAGCGAAAGTTACCGGACATCAGTCCTCCAATTACAACTGTGGTTTCGTGGGTCATCTGCAATCTCAAGCGAAACAGAGCAGCAGGATATGATCGAATGATTCGAAAGGTGACGAACTGTCTGGGAATGTCTGAGAATCAGAAGCGGTTCTGCCAGATTAATGCAAATGATTGTATATCCTAGTTTATAAGGAGGGAGACTAGTCTGCCTGTGATAATCACCGGGGAATTAGATTGGCTAATATAGTATCTTAAGTGTTAGGTTCACTCTTCAGTAGATTTCAGAACCTGGGGAATGTCCACTATCTGCATTCATATTTAATTTCATCGTAGATGTACTAGGGTTAACTCACCCTAATTGACTTCAAGGACTCAGGGATTGACTTGTTACAAGGACATGATCCTTCCAAGTGAAGACTTTGACAAAGTGCAGTCTTCCGGATACCTTTGGCAAAATTCTTTGAATGTTTGGCATGCGAGTGGCTCCTGTCTAGTGGAAGATAATACTCGGGGACTAGACTGCGCCTACTCCTAGCTTAAAGGCAGCGTGTAGCCGTAGAGGGTGTTGACTACTTCGATTATGTGGGAAGTTGTATCAACCCGAACAGACCCACTGTTCACGAACTATCAGTACTCATAAAAGGCTCGTGTTGTATTTGCCAACTGACGTCATTTCTGGCGTGGACGTGATGTCCGTCTTTCACACCATGAATCACACAAAGACAGAATAAATGAAGAGAGAAAAAGTTCGAAATGACTATAGTAAGCAGGAAATTGACGGAGAAAGATCAGTAGCACGGTGAAACATAAGGGTTTATTAGATATGGGAAATTACAATGACATGTGCACTGCACAGCGATTCACCTTATCCTGCTTTGTTGCTGTAGGATATGGCTGAGGAAGGTGGAAGATATGAGAAGGCTAGCTGTCTTTGAACAGAGATGTTTGCGCTCTATCTCCCGTGTTAAGTGGTATAATATGGTGTGTAATATTGAAGTTAGGCGTGGTGTTAGTTAGGAACGGTGAATCAGTCTATGAGGTTGTGAAGATAAGTCGATTGAGAAGGCTGGGATACGTGCAGCGCATGTCGAAGCGTCGTCTTCCTCGACAAGCAATTTTAGGTGACGGTTGTATTGACAAAGAGTTAACGACAGTCAACGCAAAACTTGTTATCAATGTAATTCGCACCACATAGGGAGTTGTGGATGGCTTGACAAAGTCTTCGGGATACTAAGAACCGGTGACTGCAGATTATCGGTGATATAGCTCAGAATGCTTCTCACTGACGCAGATGCATTGATTCTTTTTGGCTTTCTATGCCGATTAAACCTCTATGTTTCCCCAAGCTTCTATCCCCTCGTACATTTCTACCTATTAGCTTTTTGGATTTCTTTTCTGTCTCCTCTATCTCTGCTTACCACATAAAGTGTGACAACTTGAACTGCTGCACTTCTGTGCAAGTTTCTGTGTGGAAATTCATTCGCTTAATGCTTCGTTCCTCCACTTATGAGTACATCTTATTCTGGTCGTACGAATTCGGTATTGATTTAAGACACAAAAATTCGGTGTTCCATCACTCTCCGCTGAATTATTTTGAAATGTAGAATTTTTGTCCAACCCTATCACATACAGTGGTTTGAAATCTATGCCTACATTACCATAGCTGTGTTGCTTTCGAGACTTCGTACACACTTATCAACTCTTTACTGCTATCACATGCATATCTGGCAGCGGTGCAAACTCGCCCACAGATTCCCAACGTAGTGTCAGGAAATTACATTAAGGTGGTAACTTCTATTGATCTAACGACCTTCCTGCAATGGTGAGACTTGTAGAATCATTATTTCCTGCCAGTGTTGTAGCTTGTCGGTTCATTGAGATATGCAGGCCCGACCATTATGTCAAGATACCAGCTATCAGTCGGGATTAAGTCTCTAAAGAACCGTAAATTTCGATTTCGAAGGTTGTTTGATTAATTTGATATGATTATGAGCCATAAATTGTGCTTGAAATATCACCTAGTGAACATTGTGTCAATTAAATCAAATAAAATCAAATAACTCACATGAGATTATGCTATACCTGAATGTAGATGTACTACTGTTATATCGTGTTACATTTTCATGCAGCAGTTTGACACCTTGTAATGTTTGCCGATTTTGTTCCACCTAAATAAATCATAGTAAAATCTGAATATTAAAATCTGTAAAGATAGACATTAAGCAGTTAATGCATTTCAACATCAAAAACAACAACAACTTTATTGATGTGGTTTCATGCTTTGTGTACAATGAACAGACCTACTGAATTTAACATTATTTTGTTGTTGTTTTTTTTTTGTTTTACTCCCGATTGTGATGCGTTTTTCAGCCGATTGTTTCTCTCACTGAAGATGATGAAGAAATATCTCCTGATTTGAGCGATTTACTTCCAAAGATTCGTAAGATTATAGATGTAAGTTGTTCATTCTTAATTAATTTCTTTTTATGCCTGATTATTTAGCAAAATGTCATGAAACCTGTTGATCCCGAGTTATGTCAGTTGTTAAAGTTATTGAGTGAAGGTCTGAGTATTGCTGACAGACAGGATGGATTTTCCAAGTATTTACGTGATCAAGAAAAAATGCATCTACCAGCCTCATCTACATCACACAGGTTAGTTGAAGTAAATTTAACGTATATTTGCTGCTCTATTTTGACTGAACTAGCGTATACACATATCCTAATACTTCCTCGCGTTTACAATTGTGCCCTAACGTTGCGATTACTCGACATCCGCAACGTAATTCAAAAGGCACTTGCGAAGGAAAATATAGTACGATTATGAGTAATAAACGGTCACTACAATATATATCGTGTTTTTTTCTTCTTCTTCAGAGAAATCATGGAGATGGTTAGTTCATTGAATGTATTTTTGGCTAAGCTGACTTTAACTGCTGACACTGTTGACCAAATGGTAACCCTGTTTTTTTTCGAAATTATTTATTGAGTGATTTTACAGAAAAACAAGACATTGATTCACAACCATGATCTAAATACTCAACCCTCTGAAGATATTAATTTTGATGGATAAGAATCTGAAGGCATCTGTAAAGCGCCATGTTCCGGTGTGTGTATCTGTGTGTGTTTGAATCTAAAAGTGATTGAATTTCTGTAATTGTGTACATAAATAACAGCGAGGAAATTACACAATGGAAAATGAAAAATTCGATTTACAGTGAAAGCAATTTAATACCCTTTTTGAATAAAATGGAATTTTATACTGAGTTATTACTTTTTTCCTCTCAAACTATTATTGACATAATTTGTGTTGTCGCTATGTGTATGTTTACAGCCTGAAGTCGACAGTTACTGTAGTCCATAACATATCAGTTGGACAAAGTCAACATAGGTAATGAACTACTAAAATAGAGTTGGGGACTGACAGATAAGCAGGAAGAATTTGTCCTGAATTTTTTTTAAAAAACGTAGAACTTTGTATAAAAGTGCAGTAGTTTAGTTATCTAGAATTTATATTAGTTAGTTTACTTGCTGTATGCAAGATATTAGTGTTTTTATCTCTCCTATTATTTAGCCGCCACTATCATACTAGTTAGAAATTGATGTTTTTGTTGTACTTGTTCGTTTAAGTGGTGTTTACATGCTGTAGTTTATTTCTTTAAATTCTAAGTGGAACATAGGGTTTCAGTGTTTTCTTGAGCTTTGTAGTTTCGATAGCAGTGGTGTTATGTCTACGTGGTGGGAGGTTGCTAGCCTCATATCCAACTTTCACTCTTTACTGGTCTACACTACCGACTTAGCGAGGTTTTGGAAGTGCATCGGTTAAGGATTGAACGCCGGACCACTTGCTTGGTTGGCGAAAATCCTATTGCTGAACCGCCGACAACGCAGCACATACTGTTATAAAGTTGGTGAACTAATTCACTTCAAAGGGGTTGACGATTAATTACAGGCATTACGAAAAACGTCAAATCGTATGCGCTGCCCAAAGGGTAATTCTTGGGGTTCAGTAGCTTCAACAGGAAGACTTTGAGGTTTGGAATGATATGTCTGCCTACTGGTCTCAGTGGGAACCTCGTTTGTTGAGATCCGAAAAATTTTAGAAAGAGCGAAACTATTGTCTTAGGTTTCATTTCTAGCCACTGCAAAACATGTAGCGTCTAGGTACTAAGATTAGTCGACTGTGTTGATAAGAGGTAATAGTGTGGTTGAGAGCTGTCTACTAGCCAAATTGGTAGACAGTAATTTACGTCAATGTTTACGTTCTCAAGATTGGTCGTGAGAAAATATGAACAAGACTGATTCAAAAACCGACCACAGCAGAATTTGAGTAGGCGGATACAGTTGACATATAGATGATCTGGCCTGGCCCTTGTCTTCTGTTGTTACAATAGTTGTTCAGTCTATACCGGGAGGCAAAGCTTGATACGTTTTACATATCATAATTCAATAGTACCAATTGACCTCGTTAATTTAGTTTTTTTTTCCGGAAAATGGTTTTAATCTTTTGTAATTAAGTAGTAAGGGTCATATTATCATATGATGTCTGCTTTGTGTCACCTAATGAAGGTGTACAAGGAAGTAGCATTCGAGGTTATTACGACTTGTGTGTTTCTTCATTACCACAAGTTATTTCAACGCTTGAAGTAGTTTCATGCCGCCTCCAATGCTCTCTCTTATATTGATTGACATTAAATCCATTTAAGCGATCGTCTGACAGAATCTTGTTAGATGCTATTGACTCTCGATTCACTACGAACACTAACAATACATAAAATTCCCTAAGCACTGTAACCGAAAATATCAGGTTTAGTTGACTTAGCGGCCTCAGTCAGAATTGAAGACACGACTGAGTGATGCAATCAGTGAACCAACATACTATCGCCGATATGTCGATGATGCGTTTGTTGTTTGTATCGCCATGAGTCAGGCATCCATATTATGTGACCGCCTTAGTGAGGTCCACCCAAACATTAAATTCACTATGGAATATGAGCACAATGACGAGTAACTAACTGGTTTCAACGTAGAACTTTGCACCGATGTGCAGCAGTTCTAATCGCCACACTCCATGTGGTACACAAAGCAAGGGAAGAAAGTGAAAAAAATGCAAAACAGAGATATAAGGGAAAAAGAATAGTAATCTAGAAGAACAATGTAGTTATAATGGATATTATTAGTCACAAGAAGTGGATGCGTCTACATCACTGACAACGATTTTGAACCATATCACAAATTGTCTCCAGCCATTAACTTTTACCGTCCCGAGGAATCCAACCAGACAGCAGTCTACGCCTTCTTACGTGACTGGCTTAAACTAACTGTTGTGGATTTCATTGACTGATGGCACGATTCGGTTTGACCACCACTGTCTCCTTTCCAGATTTTCATACTAAACATCGCTTTCCTCGACGGGAAATATTAGCTGGTATAGGATAAATCAGGTGAGGCTAGCAACCTCCCACCACGTAGACATAACACCACTGCTATCGAAACTACAAAGCTCAAGAAAACACTGAAACCCTATGTTCCACTTAGAATTTAAAGAAATAAACTACAGCATGTAAACACCACTTAAACGAACAAGTACAACAAAAACATCAATTTCTAACTAGTATGATAGTGGCGGCTAAATAATAGGAGAGATAAAAACACTAATATCTTGCATACAGCAAGTAAACTAACTAATATAAATTCTAGATAACTAAACTACTGCACTTTTATACAAAGTTCTACGTTTTTTAAAAAAAATTCAGGACAAATTCTTCCTGCTTATCTGTCAGTCCCCAACTCTATTTTAGTAGTTCATTACCTATGTTGACTTTGTCCAACTGATATGTTATGGACTACAGTAACTGTCGACTTCAGGCTGTAAACATACACATAGCGACAACACAAATTATGTCAATAATAGTTTGAGAGGAAAAAAGTAATAACTCAGTATAAAATTCCATTTTATTCAAAAAGGGTATTAAATTGCTTTCACTGTAAATTGAATTTTTCATTTTCCATTGTGTAATTTCCTCGCTGTTATTTATGTACACAATTACAGAAATTCAACCACTTTTAGATTCAAACACACACAGATACACACACCGGAACATGGCGCTTTACAGATGCCTTCAGATTCTTATCCATCAAAATTAATATCTTCAGAGGGTTGAGTATTTAGATCATGGTTGTGAATCAATGTCTTGTTTTTCTGTAAAATCACTCAATAAATAATTTCGAAAAAAAACAGGGTTACCATTTGGTCAACAGTGTCAGCAGTTAAAGTCAGCTTAGCCAAAAATACATTCAATGAACTAACCATCTCCATGATTTCTCTGAAGAAGAAGAAAAAAACACGATATATATACGTTAAATTTACTTCAACTAACCTGTGTGATGTAGATGAGGCTGGTAGATGCATTTTTTCTTGATCACGTAAATACTTGGAAAATCCATCCTGTCTGTCAGCAATACTCAGACCTTCACTCAATAACTTTAACAACTGACATAACTCGGGATCAACAGGTTTCATGACATTTTGCTAAATAATCAGGCATAAAAAGAAATTAATTAAGAATGAACAACTTACATCTATAATCTTACGAATCTTTGGAAGTAAATCGCTCAAATCAGGAGATATTTCTTCATCATCTTCAGTGAGAGAAACAATCGGCTGAAAAACGCATCACAATCGGGAGTAAAACAAAAAAAAAACAACAACAAAATAATGTTAAATTCAGTAGGTCTGTTCATTGTACACAAAGCATGAAACCACATCAATAAAGTTGTTGTTGTTTTTGATGTTGAAATGCATTAACTGCTTAATGTCTATCTTTACAGATTTTAATATTCAGATTTTACTATGATTTATTTAGGTGGAACAAAATCGGCAAACATTACAAGGTGTCAAACTGCTGCATGAAAATGTAACACGATATAACAGTAGTACATCTACATTCAGGTATAGCATAATCTCATGTGAGTTATTTGATTTTATTTGATTTAATTGACACAATGTTCACTAGGTGATATTTCAAGCACAATTTATGGCTCATAATCATATCAAATTAATCAAACAACCTTCGAAATCGAAATTTACGGTTCTTTAGAGACTTAATCCCGACTGATAGCTGGTATCTTGACATAATGGTCGGGCCTGCATATCTCAATGAACCGACAAGCTACAACACTGGCAGGAAATAATGATTCTACAAGTCTCACCATTGCAGGAAGGTCGTTAGATCAATAGAAGTTACCACCTTAATGTAATTTCCTGACACTACGTTGGGAATCTGTGGGCGAGTTTGCACCGCTGCCAGATATGCATGTGATAGCAGTAAAGAGTTGATAAGTGTGTACGAAGTCTCGAAAGCAACACAGCTATGGTAATGTAGGCATAGATTTCAAACCACTGTATGTGATAGGGTTGGGCAAAAATTCTACATTTCAAAATAATTCAGCGGAGAGTGATAGAACACCGGATTTTTGTGTCTTAAATCAATACCGAGTTCGTACGACCGGAATAAGATGTATCCATATAAGTGGAGGAACGAAGCATTAAGCGAATGAATTTCCACACAGAAACTTGCACAGAAGTGCAGCTGTTCAAGTTGTCACACTTTATGTGGTAAGCAGAGATAGAGGAGACAGAAAAGAAATCCAAAAAGCTAATAGGTAGAAATGTACGAGGGGATAGAAGCTTGGGGAAACATAGAGGTTTAATCGGCATAGAAAGCCAAAAAGAATCAATGCATCTGCGTCAGTGAGAAGCATTCTGAGCTATATCACCGATAATCTGCAGTCACCGGTTCTTAGTATCCCGAAGACTTTGTCAAGCCATCCACAACTCCCTATGTGGTGCGAATTACATTGACAACAAGTTTTGCGTTGACTGTCGTTAACTCTTTGTCAATACAACCGTCACCTAAAATTGCTTGTCGAGGAAGACGACGCTTCGACATGCGCTGCACGTATCCCAGCCTTCTCAATCGACTTATCTTCACAACCTCATAGACTGATTCACCGTTCCTAACTAACACCACGCCTAACTTCAATATTACACACCATATTATACCACTTAACACGGGAGATAGAGCGCAAACATCTCTGTTCAAAGACAGCTAGCCTTCTCATATCTTCCACCTTCCTCAGCCATATCCTACAGCAATAAAGCAGGATAAGGTGAATCGCTGTGCAGTGCACATGTCATTGTAATTTCCCATATCTAATAAACCCTTATGTTTCACCGTGCTACTGATATCTTTCTCTGTCAATTTCCTGCTTACTATAGTCATTTCGAACTTTTTCTCTCTTCATTTATTCTGTCTTTGTGTGATTCATGGTGTGAAAGACGGACATCACGTCCACGCCAGAAATGACGTCAGTTGGCAAATTCAACACGAGCCTTTTATGAGTACTGATAGTTCGTGAACAGTGGGTCTGTTCGGGTTGATACAACTTCCCACATAATCGAAGTAGTCAACACCCTCTACGGCTACACGCTGCCTTTAAGCTAGGAGTAGGCGCAGTCTAGTCCCCGAGTATTATCTTCCACTAGACAGGAGCCACTCGCATGCCAAACATTCAAAGAATTTTGCCAAAGGTATCCGGAAGACTGCACTTTGTCAAAGTCTTCAAGTGGAAGGATCATGTCCTTGTAACAAGTCAATCCCTGAGTCCCTGAAGTCAATTAGGGTGAGTTAACCCTAGTACATCTACGATGAAATTAAATATGAATGCAGATAGTGGACATGTAGTACCCCTGTACCAACTATAAACATACGATTTTAATCTAATTTGCATACTCATATTATATGTTTACACATATCGATTTTATATGTACTTCGTAAACATTTGTCATTTTTAATGTTGAACGTTACCTTGATACAATTTTGAATTTTGACTACGGCTATAATACACGGTCACACTCTTCACAAGTGCCTTCTGATTTTACGTTGTGGGCGTCGAGTAGCCACAACGTCTGCGCACATTGATAAACGTGAAGAAGTACTAGGAAATACGTGTACGCTAATTTAGTCAAATAGAACACGCGACAAATTGGTGAGCCCGACGACAAATTGCTGACTCCGACGACGACGACGACTTTTTGACCTCGACCCGTCGTTACACTTGCTGGATTATTAAAACTCTAACTTTCGCGGATCTATATATTTATTAAACATTTCGAACCCATTATTGTGTTTGCTCATAGCACAACCTGCAGTAATTTGTGGTAAGCACCTGCATTGTATGCTTTTTTATTTTGCCGTATTCTTATTGTGCACAAATTTTGCTATTTTCCTACTCTTAAACCATTTTTTACGAATTGTAACATGCCCTCCAATACCTCTGATAACTTAGAGCTGGGATCTGTTAGTACTGTTTCTCTTACTGTACCAGTTTTAAAGCCCAGAGACCCTCATCTTTGGTTTGCTCGACTGGAACATTATTTGGCTAGCAATAAGCTCACGTCACAGACAGCTAAATTCTGCATTTTGAGTACAGTACTACCAGACGAAGTCGCCGAGCAGGTACGGCAATACATCGTCCAACCCAGCACAGAAGCGCCTTACGACAAGTTGAAGGAAGAGGTACTGCGATGCACTTCACTTTCAGATAGGCAAGCACTCGATCGCCTGTTAAGCAATGTTGAGTTAGGTGATAAAACCCCATCTCAACTCATGAGGCATATGCAAAGCCTAGTTGCCGGAAGAGAAATCGATAAACGTCTCTTTTACCAAATATGGCTACGAAGACTTCCCGCAAACATCCAGCAGGTTCTTGCTTTCGGAGACGACGACATTGACATAGAAAGGCTCACCGAAATCGCGGATCGCATGTACGAGAGGTCAACACCTCAATCTGTCGCTTCCACTAGCAGAATACCAGACACTCACGATAGAATACAGACTCTAGAACACAAAGTCGACACCTTACTGAGTCAGTTAGCAAAACTGACTACACGCACACAACCAAGCCGTTCTAGAAGCTCGTCTCGTCGACGTCTTTCTCGATCCCCTAGCACGTCACGACATCGCGATAGTATTTGCTGGTATCACCGTAGTTATGGAAGCAATGCACGACGGTGCCGTTCACCTTGCAACTTTCAGACTAAACCAAAAGATATATCGTCATGTGTAAAAAATACTGTTGGCAACCTACGATCTAACAGTCGTTTGTTTTATGTAACAGATAAAAATACCGGTACTACATTCTTAGTTGACACAGGAGCAGAGGTGAGTGTTCTCCCTCCGTCTACACAGGAACGTCAACATCCTGACCCAGCAGTTACGCTCCAAGCTGTTAATCAGTCCAGTATTGTTACATATGGAACTAAACGAATGACTTTAGATTTTGGTTTAAAGAATACCTACACTTGGTCTTTCATCATTGCAGACATCCCATCCCCAATCCTCGGTATTGATTTTCTACAGCAGCACAAACTGTTAGTTGATCCGATAAGCCCCAAGCTTATAGACTCGCTCAATAAAACGTACATTGCTGGTACGATTAGCCGTGCATCATCACTGAACTTGATGGTCACACGCACACCAGCATCTCCATATACCAATTTGGTAAATCAGTTTCCTGACCTTTTACAACCTTCTTTTCGAGGGACAGAACCGAAGCATCATGTGCTTCATCATATTAAAACCACTGGACCACCAGTTTTTGCACGTCCCCGACGCCTTGACCCACATCGACTTAAAATCGCCAAAACAGAGTTCGATAAAATGCTAGAGCTTGGTATTATTCGACCGTCCAACAGCTCTTGGTCTTCACCGCTTCACATGGTGCCCAAAAAGTCTTCTGGTGAGATACGGCCGTGTGGTGATTATCGAGCTTTAAACAAGCAAACGGTACCTGATCGATACCCAATACCACACATCCACGATTTCGCTAGCAACTTACCAGATTTTAAAGTTTTCTCTAAAATCGATCTTGTCAGAGCGTATCATCATATCCCCATCCACCCGGATGACGTTCCGAAAACCGCCATTACCACACCATTCGGTTTATATGAATTCGTACGCATGCCATTCGGACTTATGAACGCCGCTCAGACATTTCAACGCCTAATTGACCAAGTACTCCGTGGTCTCCCTTTCGTCTACGCATACATCGATGACTTACTAATTGCGAGTGCAGACGAAGCCGAGCATTTGAAACATGTGAAGACAGTGTTTGAAAGACTGAACCAATACGGAATGACTATCAACTTAGATAAATGCGAATTTGGTAAGACCTCACTGAAATTTCTCGGTCATTTAATCGATAGCCAAGGGATCAGACCAGTCCCTGATGACGTACAAGCTATCAAAGATTATCCATTACCAGATTCTTTTAAGAAATTACGACGATTTTTGGGTCTCGTTAATTTTTACCGGCGTTTTATTCCGAACTGTGCCAAAGCTTTACAACCATTAACCGATTGCTTACGTGGACATAGTCGTTCATTCCATTTGCCCGCAGAAGCTGTTAAAGCTTTCGAAACTGCTAAACAATTGTTAAATGACAAGACGCTCTTAGTCAGACGCCAAAATGACGCCCCCCTGTCTCTCATGACAGATGCTTCAGACGTTGCCATCGGGGCAGTTTTACAACAGCACGTACACGGCGAATGGCAACCTCTTGCATTCTTTTCGAAACGACTGAATCCTACTCAGTGTCGCTATAGCACTTTTGGTAGAGAGTTATTGGCTGTTTATTTAGCAATCAAGCACTTTCGGCATATGCTGGAAGGTACAGCTTTTACTGTCTTTACAGACCATAAAACTCTAACGAAAGCCTTATCAGCAAAACAGGATAACTACTCTCCGCGTGAACTACGACATCTCGAGTTTATATCTCAGTTCACCTCCGATCTGCGACACGTAAGGGGTAAACACAATGAAGTGGCAGACGCTTTATCACGTATGCACATTGACAACATTGTATGCCCACACATCGACTACGAACGTCTCTCAAACTTACAACGAGATGATGCCGAACTTACAAAGATCATGTCTTCTAAAACAACATCTTTAAAACTAGACGCAATTCCTTTTGGCACGACAAAAATAATCTGCGACACCTCTACGGGTAAATATCGAACCTTCGTTCCAGCAGCTATGAGACATAGAGTATTCGAGAAGTTACATAACTTGTCTCATCCCGGTGTCAGCGCTACTATCAAACTAATAAAAGAAAGATCTATATGGCCGAACATTAATAGCGATGTTAAGAAGTGGACACGAAATTGCTTGTCTTGTCAAAGAGTCATTTTGGCGTCTGACTAGAAGTGTCTTGTCATTTAACAATTGTTTGACATTTTCGAATGCTTTAACAGCTTCTGCGGGCAAATGGAATGAACGACTATGTCCACGTAAGCAATCGGTTAATGGTTGTAAAGCTTTGGCACAGTTCGGAATAAAACGCCGGTAAAAATTAACGAGACCCAAAAATCGTCGTAATTTCTTAAAAGAATCTGGTAATGGATAATCTTTGATAGCTTGTACGTCATCAGGGACTGGTCTGATCCCTTGGCTATCGATTAAA